CCCAGGTTTCTCTGAATATGCCCTTTCTGTCATTTCTAACGGCACAACAGTATTCCATTACATTATATGCCATATTGATAGACTATTCTCCAATTGATGGGCAACCTTTTGTTTCTAGTTCTTTGATGCTGCTTAAGAACTGCTATAAATACTTTTGTGCACATGAAAAGTGTACACTGTCTTCTGCTCTTTGATCTCTTTTGGGGAATAGGCTAGGATTACTATCACCGGATCAAAAGGTACACCTAATCTCTTAGAGTCTTAGGGAATAATTCTGAAAATTTTTAAAATTTTTAAAAATTTTTTTGTATTTTGCTAGGCAATGGGGTTAAGTGACTTGCCCAGAGTCACACAGCTAGTGAGTGTTAAGTGTCTGAGGCCGGATTTGAACTCAGGCCTTCCTGATTCCAGGGTTGGTGCTCTATCCACTGCACCACCTAGCTGCCCTTATTTATTTTTAATGAATAGTTTTTTATAATCTAGTTTTTTCCCATTAGACATTTTATTTTTTTTAACATTCAGTAGTATTTTATTTTTTCCAATTACATGTCAAGATAATTTTTAGCATTCATTTTCATAAGATTTTGAATTCCAAATTTTTCTCCCTCCCTCCTCTCCCTCTTCCTAAAATGGTAGGCAATTTGATATAGGTTATACAGGTGCTTATCATGTAAAACATATTTCCATATTAGTCACATTTTTGAAAGAAGAAACAGATCAAAAGGAAAAAACCATGAAAAAGAATAAAGTAAGTGAAAATAGTATGCTTTGATCTGCATTCAGAGTCAGTCAGTTTCCTTATAGGGATATGGTTAGTATTTTCCTTTGTGAGTCCTTTATTTTGGATCATTGTGTTGCTGAGAAGAGCTGAGTCATTCATAGATGATCATCACACAAAGTTACTGATACTGTGTACAATGTTGTCCTGGTTCTGCTCATTTTAATCAGCATCAGTTCATACGAGTCGTTCCAGGTTTTTCTGAAGTCAGCCTGTTCATCATTTCTTATAGCACAATAGTATTCCATTACATTCATATACCACATCTTGTTCAACCATTCCCCAATTGATGGGCATTACCTCCGTTTCCAGTATTTTGCTATCATGAAAAGGGCTATTATAAATATTTTTTGCACATTTGGGTCCTTTTCCTTTTTAAATGATCTCTTTGTGATACAGACCTAGTAGTGGTATTGCTGGATCAAGGTATGCACAATTTAGTTGCCCCTTGGGCATAGTTCCAAATTGCTCTCCAGAATATTTGGATTAGTTCACAACTCCAGCAACAGTGTATTAGTGTCCCATTTTCCCACATCCTCTCCAACATTTATCATTTTCGTTTTTTGTCATATTAGTCAATCTGATAGATGTGAGGTGGCACCTCAGCATTGTTTTGATTCGCATTTCTCTAATAAAAAGTGATTTAGAGCACTTTTTCTTTTTTTTGGTGAGGCAATTGGGGTTAAGTGACTTGCCCAGGGTCACATAGCTAGTAAATATCAAGTGTCTATTTTTGCTTTTTTTTTTTGAGCTAGGCAATGGGGTTAAGTGACTTGCCCAAGGTCACACAGCTAGTAAGTGTTGAGTGTCTGAGGCTAGATTTGAACGCAGGTCCTCCTGACTCCAGGGCCGATGCTCTATCCACTGTGCCACCTAGCTGCCACCTAGCTGCCCCCTAAATATCAAGTGTCTGAGGCCAGATTTCAATTCAGTTCCTCCTGACTCCAGGGCCGTGTTTTATCCACTGCGCCTCCTAGCTACCTCAGAGCTTCATATGCCTACGGATAGCTTTGATTTCTTCATCTGAAAACTGCTTGTTCATATTCTTTGACCATTTATCAATTGGGGAATGGCTTGTATTCATATAAATTCTACTCAGTTCTTTATATATTTGAGAAATGAAGCCTTTATCAGAGACACTTGCTATAAAGATTGTTTCTCAGCTTTCTGCTTTCCTTCTAATCTTGGTTGCGTTGTTTTTCTTTTTGTTTTTGTTTTTTGCAAAAGCCTTTATTTAATATAATCAAAATTATCTATTTTACATTTCATAATGTTCTTCATCTCTTGTTTGGCCATGCTTAAGCTTAAAGCATGTGGATGCTATATCACTTGGTGCATATGTGTTTAATATTGATATTACTTCATCATCCATGGTACCTTTTAGCAAAATGTAGTTTCCTTTCTCATTTCTTTTAATTAGATCTATTTTTGCTTTTGCTTGTTCGAGACAGGATTGCTATCCCTGCTTTTTTTTTTTTACTTCAGCTGAAGCATAGTAGATTCTGCTCTAGCCCTTTGCCTTTACTCTGTGTGTGTCTCTCTGCCGTAAGTGTGTTTCTTGTAAACAATATATTGTAGGATTCTGGTTCTGAAATGTTTTTGATGATGATCAAACCATTCACAGCTCTCTACCAAGAGTAATTAATGTGCCTATTTTCCTGAAGTCCCTCCAACATTTGCCATTTTCCTTTTTGGAATATTTGCCAGTCTTTTTTGAAATTAAATTTTACTTTTTAATGAAGAGAAAATGATTTTCTCTTCCCTCAACTCTTACTGCATTGTGAAAAACAAACAAACAAGATCTTTGTAATAAATATGCATAGTCAAGCAAAACAAATTCTCTCATTGACCATATCCATCATGTCAAAAAAAAGTCTCATTCTACAGCCTGAGTCTGCCACCTGTCTGTAAGGAGGTGAATAGCATGCTTCATCATTAGTCTTAGATTCATAGAAGGTCATTGCATTGATCAAAGTTCTTATTGCTTTCAACGTTGTTTGTTTTTACGTTGGTATTGTATAAGTTGTTCTGATTCTGTTTACATTATTATTATTTATTAATTTATATGACTTAAAAATTGTTTTTATATAATATTTATATAATATTGATTTAAATAATGGTGATGTTATATATATATATATATGTTATAAATTATTTTTCTGGCTTTACTATTCACTTTGCATCAATTAATACAAGTCTTTCCATATCTCTTTGAAGTAATTTATTTCTTCATTTCTTATAGCACAATTATATTCCATTACATTCATATATTTCTTCAGTCATTTCCAACTAATGAACATCCCATTAGTTTCTAGTTTTGTGTTTTTTTGTTCAAAAATTGTTGCTACAAATATTTTTATACATATTTTTCCTCTTTCTTTGATCTCTTTGAGGTATAAGCAAAGCAGTAGTATTCCAGAATGATTGGACTCATTCATAGGTCTAGCAACAATGCATCATTTGCCCACAGCCCCTCCAACATTTGTTGTTTATTTTTTGGGTTATCTTTGCCAATCTCATGGGTGCCAAGCAGAACCTCAGAATTGCTCTAATTTATGTTTCTCCGATTATTAGTGATTTGGACCATTTTTTCTGCATCATTCAGATTGCTTGGATTTCTTCTCTTCAGCACTGACTATTCATGTCCTTAGACCATTTATCAATTGGGGAGTGTCTCTTGTTCTTATAAATTTGAATCAGTTCCTTAAATAACATGGAAATGAGACCTTTATCAGAGAAACTTGCTATGAAGATGCCTGCCCCCTGCCCCCAGTTCATTGTTTCTCTTTTAATCTTAACTTTATTGTATTTGTTAATGCAAAAGCCTTTTAGTCTTATGTAATCAAAATTATTCATTTTAACTTCTATGATCCTCTCTATCCTTTTTTTTGGTCATGAACTTTTTCTCTATCCATAAATCTGATGGGTAAGTTTTTCCTTGTTTCCCTAATTTGTTTATGATATGAACGTTTATATCTCAGCCATATATCTATTTGGACCTATCTTGGTATTAAATGCATCAGTATATTTGTTTCTCATAGCCCCTACAACATTTATCTTTTCTTTCTTTGTTATCTTTGTCAATCCGATTTGGTGTGAAGTGGAGCCTGAGAGATGCTTTAATTTGCATTTCTTTTTTAGTGGTTTAGAACATTTTCCTGATTTTTGAATTAATTTATATTTAAAATTGTGAATAAATATCTTCTTATTAATAACTAACAACTAATAAAATAATAAATGATAAATTAAATCATTATTAATAAATCACTAATAAATTAAATAATTAATTTGTAGTTTAATTAGTAATTAATTAATTTAATTAATTTTTAACATTTGTTCCTTAAATTTTTGAGTCCCAAATTCTCTATCTCCTTCCCTCCTACTTCCTCCCCCTGCCCAATGAGAAGGCAAGTAATTGGTTATGGGTTATACATGTACAGCCATGTAAAACAGAACTTTTTTTTTCCAAGTAACTATTGGTAGCTTGGATTTCTTTCTTCAAGAAAAAAATTACATGGCCGCATACATATTCTTCACTTTGGTAAAGAAGTGGTGGACTATGGGTGTAGAATGTTGCATACACTATAAAATGTGACTACTTAAACTATTTGTCTCTGTTAAAAGGGAGAATTTTATCGTGTAGGGAGTGTACTGGGGAATTACATATGTATGTATGTATATTATACCTACACATGTATATATACACACACATACACATACGCACATATATATATACCTTATTTAAAAATTAATTTATGTATACACATGCAAATATATGTTTATATATGTATATATACAAAACGTATTCTTAAAACACTGTAAATAAATCCCTTAGAAACATCAGCCTGACATAGGTGAAAATGCTGGGTTAATTCCCAATGTGTGCACCACCTGTGTTTTTTCCTGTCTGCTAATACCTTCCTCTTACATGTTATATATTGGGTGATGTTAGGAGAGAAGTCTCAGAGCAGCCCTTTTTTGCCAAAGGGTCTTCTCTGACTGTTTTTTTTTTTGGCTAGGTGGTGCAGTTAAGTGACTCTCCTAGGGTCACACAGCTAGTAAATGTCAAGTGTCTGAGGCCGAATTTGAACTCAGGTCCTCCTGACTCTGGGCCTGGTGCTTTGTCCACTATGCCACCTAGCTGCCCCCTCTGAGTGGTTTTTGAGGAGTTCTTCTGTCTTGTAGAGGATAATATCTTACAAAGGATTTTTTCTGCTTGTAGGAAATGATATCTTACAATGGATTGCCCAGCGGCTTTGGATTGGCAACATAGGTGAGTTCCTTCCTTCTTTCCTTCCTTCCTTCCTTCCTTCCTTCCTTCCTTCCTTCCTTCCTTCCTTCCTTCCTTCCTTCCTTCCTTCCTCCCTCCCTCCCTCCCTTCATTGTTTTAGGCTCTTCAGTGGATACTAAAGAATTAGGAGGCATGGTCCCTCCTTGAAAAATATGTGCCCTATGTTTTCACAAGCTACTGGGAAATAAGAAATACAGGAAATGGGGTACAGAAGTCTATCCTGCCCTACAAAAAAATAGAAGGGGAAGGGGATAAGAGAAAGGGAGAGAGATAGAAGAGTGGACAGACTAGGGGAAGGGATATTCAGAATGCATGCCATCTTGGGGTGGGGGGAGGGGGGAGATGGGGTGAAAATTTGGAATTCAAAAACTTGTGGGAGTGAATGTTGAGAACTAAAAATAAATAAATTTATATATATATAAAAAGAAAAATATATGCCCTAATGCCTATCAGTTGGGGAATGGCTAAACAAGCTGTGGAATATTATTGTGCTATAAGAAATAACAAGCAGGATGATTTCAGAAAAACCTGCAAAGACTTACATGAACTGATCAGAACCAGGACAGCATTGCATCTGTGTAATAACAGTATTGTTCAATGAAGAATTGTGAATGACTTAGTTATTCTCAGCAATACAATGATCTAAGACAATCCCAAAGGACTGATGATGGAGCATACTGATGTTGTTTGAATTGAGACTGAAGTATGCTATTTTTCACTTTCTTTTGTTTTTTTCTTTTATTTGAATCTTTGTGTACAACATGACTAATATGGAAATGTTTTACATGATTGCACATGTATAATCTACATCTGATTGCTTACCATCTCAAGGAAGGGAGAGGAGAGGGGAGAGAGGGAGGGATAGAATTTGGAACTCAAACTTTAGATAAAAATATTAAAATTTAAAAAAGAAAATAAAGCTAGCAAGTGCAAAAAAAAGTATATGCCTAGATGGAGAAACAAAGTATACATTTATGAAACATTTAGTTTGTGGTTATACAGCACAAACAGAATACAAAAGAAGGTAGTAATGTGGATGTAGTTCTTTGAAGGAAGTGATGAATGCATATTGATGGAGGGGAACTGGAAAGATATTCGAGGAGGAGGGAATAATGTGATTTAAGCAATGAATTTGTAGTGAGTAAGAAATGTGTAGGGACAGTAAGAAGATCATCAACTATGAGAGGTAATTGCACTGAGAGATAGTGTGGCATAATGGATGTAATGCTGGGCTTGAAGTTAGCATGATCTGGGTTCAAATCCCACAAATGAAACTTATTAATTATGTTACCCAGAGAGCACATTGCTTAATTTCTTTGTATTTTAGGTAGCTTCTTAAGACTTAACATATTAACTCATAGTTGAATTTAGGACTGTTTTGGCAGAGGGAGCCTTGGCACTCTTGAATTCACAGAGCATTTATATATGAATGCACACATATACACATACATATATACACATGCATATAAATGTATATATGAATAGCTTGCAATTGTATAGGGCATTAAGTTTACAAAAAAAGCTTTCTTCATGACCGCTCTGTGATACAGAGAGTAGAGATATATTCTCTATTTTACAAATAAGAGTCTGAGAAATAAAATGAATTATCCATGGTGTCAAAGCTAGTAAATAACTGAAGTTATATTCAAACCTAGGTCTCCTGATTTTTAATCTAGCATTCTTTCCTTATAATATATACCATGCTGCCTCCTTATCTTTATCATTTACATTTATATAAATCTTTAAAGTTTGCAAAGCTACTTCCTTCACAACAATGCTATGAAGTTAGGTGGGTGTGAGAGTTGGTGAGGGTAACTAGAGCCAACTTGTACAGGTTCATGAGAGCCGATTGTTAAATTTTCAGTGTGTGTGTGTATGTGTGTGTGTGTGTGTATGAACACATACATACACATGTATCATGTTTAATACTTCAAATATTCAGATACTAGTGTTGAGACCTTTTTTTTAAAAGGAAGATTAAGGATCTTTTGATGTACATAATTTAAGATTTTTTAACCTACATCAGTGATACTAACAATATAGAATAGCAAAAGACCAGCTCCTCCTATTTAAAATCAGACCTTTATTATATGAGTACATATATATATATATAGACACACACACATATGAAGTTTAAGTACATACATGTATGTGCACTCTCTCTCTCTCTCTCTCTCTCTCTCTCTCTCTCTCTCTCTCTCTCTCTCTCTCTGTCTCATGTCTCCCCATTAGAATGTAAGCATCTTGAGGGCTGGGACAGTTTTACCTTTTTCTAGTATTTTAGCTCCTACCACAGTTCTTGGCAGGAACAGATGCTTAATGAATGCTTCCTGTTTGTTGGTTGATTTTTATGTCCCCATATAGATCCCTATGACCTGACTAGACCTTTTCATCTTCTGATAATGCTTGAAAAAAAATGAGGGCTCTTTAGGATGAATTCTCTTCTCCCACAGTTTGGGGGGGGTGGAGGAGCAGGGTACATGTGGAAATTTGGCAGTAGAATTTCTAAGTACTTAACTGATCTCAATCTCTGGGTCTGACCTGCTTCTTTCTAGAGGCACAGAACTTGGGAAATTTCATTGTCAAGTATGGCTACATTTACCCCCTGCAGGACCCCAAGAATCTTATCCTCAAACCTGAGAGCAACAGTCTTTACCGATTTCAGGTGAGTTGTACCCTTGGCTAACCTTGCCTGACACTTGTAGTGCCATTCTGTTCTAAGAAGCCAAGATTAATTTCATGTCTTTACAAGTCAGCATCATTGGGACTTAAATACCAGGGATGGGAGAAAATGGTGGTTGGCAATTTTTTGGACCTATTTGTAAGGTTCTTCTCAGGTAATCAGGAAACTAAGAAGACCTTGATAAATCACCAAGCATGATTTCTCCAATTCCTTTTACAGACACCCTATTTCTGGCCCACTCAGCAGTGGTCAGCTGAAGACACAGACTATGGTAAACACTTTTCCTCTCTCTCCCCCCTTCTACTATAGGCAAGTACTCCTTTACTTATGCTTTGTTTGCTATTGCTTCCCTTTCTTTTTTGGGCAACTGGACCTCTGATTTCTTTGGTTTGAGAAATGTCCAGTGTGGAAACTCTACACAGATGCAAATCTGCAACTCTTCTGTTGATTTATAATCTTAGAGGGGTATATTAGGTCATGGTCACATAGCCAGCATATGTCAGAGGCAGGAATTGAACAGAGGTCTTCTTAAATGCAGGGCTGGCCTTCTTAAGCTTAATTAATCTTAATTAATTGATCTTAATCAGTCAGTTAGCAAGCATTTATTAAATGCCTACTATGTTCTATCTAGGCATTGTGCTAAGCACTAGTGATAAAAAGAAAGGCAAAAAACAATCCCTGCTCCCAAGGAACTCACAATCTAATAGGGGAGATAATGTGCAAATAAGTATGTACAAATTAGAGATATACAAGATAAATTGAGAGTAGTCTCAGAAGGAAGGCTTCTGTAGAGCCCCTTGGCGTCCACTAAGCCCTGCTACCTTATTTCTTCACTGACTTGATATTTATCCTGTTATTTTTAGTATTAATTATGTAAAATTATTTATCATGAATATAAAATATTAATTAACTTAAATATTAAGATAAAACAACAAATACATATTGTGTATATATTTTTAACATATAAATTTATTATTATTTAATATTATTTTTATATTGGTTCTGTCTCATCAACTGGCTAGTTTTAGGAGATCAGCTCTCAGAGAATAAGAACCATGTCAGCTGAAAATTCTTTTTGCAGTCCTAGTATATCACCTTTAATATCAATATATCAGTTCCTAGAGAGGGGCTGAAAAACTACTTTTGGATGATGGAATATAATCCATTTCCTTTTTCAGCCATCTATCTAGCCAAGAGAAATATCAAGAAGAGAGGAATTTTAGAAGAATACGAAAAGGTACAGAGATGCTTTAGAACTGTATGTTTTTGTTGGTTGAATACTGGTTCTCAGTAAGTGCTTTTCTTGTCCCTCACTCCTACATCGCAATACCTCGTAGCTCCTATTTATGTCACCCTGAGAATCTGCCACAATTTATAACTCATCACCCAGGGGTTCTGTCTGCAGCTGATATGAGGTGGGGTTAGAAAATCAGGAACTTTTTATCAGCTGCTGTTTTTGAGTCAAAAGCTTTGCTTCAGGGCCTGCTTTGTACCATGTGTTACTCAGTGGTCTACGTGGTACGATTTGGGAGCCACTGGGGGACCTTGTTGCTCTGTTCAGATTTCCAAATGAACCCAGTCTAACCCTTGAAAGATTGGAATTTTGGTTAGATAGGGACAATACTGCTGTTACTTCTATATTTTAAAAAGGTTGTCACAGCTGTAATAGAATCAGAGACTTAGAACTGGAAGGGCCTTAGAAACTCTCTACTTCAACCCCCTCATTTTGCAGAAAAGACAACTGAAATTCAGGGAGGTTTTGAGCAACTTTCCCAACATCACACAGATGATCTTATCTAAATGGGCTAGACCAGTGGCTAACAACCATTTTGAATGACTTTTATTTGATGCTGCAGCTTCCTCCCCACCTCAATATGCTTTTTGGTAGATTTTAATTTTTAAGAAGTGGATGAGGGTTTGTTCTGATATATTTTGGAGAATTTAGCAATATTGTTTCAATTTTTTTGGGGGGGGCTAGGCAGTGGAGTTAAGTGACTTGCCCAGGGTCACACAGCTAGTAAGTGTTATATAGCAGATTTGAACTCAGGTCCTCCTGAATCCAGGTCCAGTGCTCTATCCACTGCATCACCTGGCTGCCCCTAGAAGTAAGGTATCTCTTAAGAGACACCTTAGGTCACAAACCTAGAATAAGCCTAGACACACTTCAGTTTAGTTGTCTTAGGAGAGTCCCCTGCTGTCTTGTCCCATGCAACTTACAGCAACATATGTTCTTAGCTCTCATTTTGTTCTCCGGTTCTAGGAAAATTACAGCTTTTTGAACAAAAAGATTAACCATAAATGGGACTTTGTCATCATGCAGGCCAAAGAGCAGTACAAGTGAGTAAAGAAAAACCATTTTCTTACTCTGTTTCCTCCTCCTTTTCTGTTGCCATGTGGTTTTGAAGAGCTTTGTCTAAGCAGGAAGAGCCAGGCTATTGGGAAAGGGGAGGGAAGGGGTGGTCCATGTTCTTCAACCTCATTCTCCCTAAAAGTTCCACATCCTAAAATTCATCAAACAGTTATTAAATGCTTATCACATTCAGAGCCCTCTGCTTAGGCAAAGAGAAAGAAAGAATAGATATCACACAATGCCTGGCAGCATGGAGCCTGTAATCTAATAGGGAAATAATACATGGCAAGTGCAAAGTGCCAGCTGAGGCCCAAGGCAGGAAAGGTCAATGGACTATTGAAGTAGAGGTAGAATTTGAGTTGGGCTTCAAAACTTAGGTAGGAATTCAACAGGCTTGTGGGAAGAAGTGTGGGAAGGAGAAGAATGAAGAAGACATTCTATGGATAGGGAACAATATAAAAAAAAAAAGCACAGAGGTGGCAAACTCCAAGGCCTGAACAGAGTACAGGGAGTAAAATAGTTTGTTCAGAGCACAAAGAACCTGGATTAGAGGAGTATGAAAAGGCTGGAAATGAAAAGTGACATTAGAATATGGAGGGCCTTGAATGCTATTAGGAAGGAAGGAAGCATTTATTAAGCAACTGTTGTGTCCTGGTACTATACTAGGTGCTTTAAAAATATTACCTCATATATAAATATAAATATATTTGATCCCCACAACAACCTGGGGAGGTAGGTGCTGTTATCATCCCCATTTTGCAGTTGAGAAAACGGAGGCAGACAGAGGTTAAGTGACTTTCCTTGGGTCACACAGTTAATGTCTGAGGCCATGTTTGAATCCAGGTTTTCTTGACTCCAAGCCCACCGCTTTATCTACTGTGCTACCAGGGTGTCACCACCCACCATTTCCTTGGTAGGTAATAGGGACGCATTGAAGAGTTTGGGGTAGAAGAGTGACATAACCAGATTCATGAAGAAGGAAAATCAGTCTGGCAGGTGTGTGTAGGATGGATTAGGAGGATGGAATTAAGGCAGAAAGACCTGTTGGAAGTCAATTGTAATAGTCCAAGTAGGTGGTGATGACTGTTTATGCTGGGGTATTGGCAGTGGAAATGGAAAATGAGGGAACCAATTACAGAAGTGATGAATGGTAGAATCAACAGGCCTTGAAAATTGGCTAGATATGAGAGGTGTTGATGATTAGCTGGATATGAGAGGTAAGAAAGAGTCACTAGTCAAAGATCAACCCAAGCGTTTTGTAGTTTATGAATGGTAGCACCATAAAAATTACATTTCCTGGATTATATTGGACTGGGAGTTCCACTTTTCACATAACGCACTTGTGTGCCTTAAGTAGCATTTCACAGAGCTCAGTATATAGGTGGCACTAAATTAATTGACTCATTGACTGATTAAGTGACATTTCATGTGGAGTATGTGGCAAAGAGTAATGGGTTTGGATCTCTTACTCCTCCTGTGGGAAGGATACGCTGCAAAGACGAATACTAGGTGTTCATTTCGGTGACTGTTCTCAATTCTCCAGCAGTGTTTTATCTATTTACAAGTCAACAAACGTTTAAGTGCCTGTGTTGTACAAGGCAGAGTGTGAGATACTGGGGATACAGAACCAAAAACCAAACAGTCCTTGCCCTCAAGGAGCTTATATTCTACTGGAATGAACCCCCTTATTGTATTTTTCATTGGAGGAAAATTTTCCCCCCAATTTTTTTTCTCTCACCCAACTTACTCTTAGATGGTTCCCCTCCTGGTAACTCTCAGTTACTCAGGGAACGTAAACTTGTTTAATATTAACTCTTAGGAAAATATAGTTAAGAAGAAAATCTGTTGTAAAAAGATAAAAACATGTTGTACAAAAATGACCTTTTGATTATCTCCTATTTTGGCTTCATCCACATCACTGCTTCCCCTTCAGTGGCACAGATAATTAAAAAACTGAGGATATTTGCAAGGCTGCCTTGAATAATAGAAATCCTGTGGTTCTTCAGAAGCACCTATTACTCATTCATCCTTCACAAACAAACATACCTAGTGGTAAATATAATTAGCTTAGCTCAGTTATGTTAGTGTTAACAGTGGTCTTAAAAAAAAAATCCCAAAATCAGAACACCATGCAGTTGGAAGAGGTATTTACTCAGCCTGGCTTTCCATGTATTATTCATAATGCATTATATAGGATATAAATCCACTAGCTCTGCTTTTCATAGCATACATTCATCGCTGCACATTGTGCTCTTGGCCTGTCTGTAAAAATATGCATTATGGAGAACAAGCCAAGTGGTACTATGCCATTCTTGGTAATTGGTTCTGAATTCTGACATGGTAATACTGATCAGTCATTCTTATGGATTTAAGTAGATTTCATTCCCCGGTAGCAGGAAAGCTCAGCATAATTTTCTGATGTTGATACACGATGGATACAAAGAATAAAAAGACAAGAATTAAAATCCTTTTGAAATAAAACAAAGCTTCAAAAAAATACCTGTCCTGGGGAGCACAGTCCAACATGATAGAACAGAACCAACAGGCAGGAAGGTAGCCAGATTCCTATAGGTCACTCTACTCTATCAGGAGGCTGTGGGCCTTGATCTCTTATTGCCAGTCTTACTTAGATGTTGATTTTGTAATTTCCGTGAGCATATAGTGAGACATCAGGGAAAAATTAAGCTGCCAGAGAGTTAGATTTCATCGAGGACTTGTGTGAAAGCTGAGTTGAATATGGGACAATCAAGACCTCTGGCCTTGTTTCCAGCATGTGCCTTTCCAAATCCATCAACCAGGGAACCATCCTCTGTGGAGAAGGGGCCTGTCATCCCTGCTGCCATCATCACCAACTGCTCACTTACTGCCACCAATGGGGAAGGCAAACCACCCTGGCTAGAGCAGCAAGGCATCATGAAGGATAGATAGAGGGCAGAACGTGTAGGGAAAAGCAGGGAGTTAAACAATTGTTATTCCCTCAACTTCCACTTCTCCTTAGACCCAGGTGGAAACAACTCCCAAGATACCTGGGAATAGTGCTTCTAAAGTCATTGTCCAAAGGTGCAACTGTTGTGGAAATATGAGTTCTGCAGGGGCTAAAGCCCCTGCTTCCTCAGCAACCAACTTACTAAATACCCAGAAAAGAGATCCTTACCATCAGATTCCTTGGCACCATTAAATGGCTCAACATCAGAAAAGATACGGTTTTATTGAAGGAAATGACATGAAAGAAGATTCCTTACCATTTGATTCTACCCCAAAGGACCACTGGCCATTTCAATTTGATTTGCTGCTCAAACTTCCTGTATTTCTTACCCCCATTTTAGAATAAGAGCTGCCTGAGAGTAGGCTGTCTCTTACTTTATTATTTGTATCCTTAGTGCTTAACATAGTGATTTGTACTTAATAAGGGTTTAATAAATGCTATCTCATTCATTCAAATTTCAGTGTCAAGATTGAAGCTATTTTTGCTGGGGAGGAAGGATAGGAAAGGAAAGAAGGAGGCAGATTATCAGGGATGGGCACCAATGCTCATCTTAAATGAACAAAGAACTATGGGCCTTTTACTGTTATTGGCTTTGCAGAACTGGAAAGGAAAGGAAGAAAGCAGACCGGTATGCCTTGGATTGCCAAGAAAAAGCTTATTGGCTGGTCCACCGATGCCCTGTGAGTAGATCTATCATTATAAATTATTTCATTTGGGGCAATAGGGGAAAGGAGGGACAAGTAAAGGTGGTAGGGAGGACAATCTAATTGAGGTGATGGTTGGATTAGGATAGGGAATTGAGGAAAAAGGGCAAACTTGAGAGAGAAGGGACCTGGGGATGGTAGCTATGCTACATGGCAGCATGGGCCTATAGAGAACCTTTTAGGGAGGTTTTAGGATAGTGTTCACCTAATAAAGAAATAAAGAACTGCACTAGGTTGGTGTACTAATGGCAAAGTTCTACTCACCCTGTACTAGTTATGGCTTTGCCTATGAATTCCATCCAAGGGCTCTACCATCTTTCTCATTCTCCCATGTTCATTCTACTCCAGGCCTACTGTAATCCTATCTATCTATGGTGCTTGGCTTATACCAACCAGCTGATTTGCTTATGACATTTGAATATCCAAGTATCTCTTTTGGGTAGAAGAAGAAATATGTTTTTTTTTTGACTAGAACTCACAGTATTGTAGATATATTGATTTCATAAGCTGGGTAGGCTTGATTAGGGAAAGGATTTGCACAAGTGGCTCAGATTCTACAAGTTTGTTATGAAGGGAGTGACTTTCAGATCACACGAGGGTAAACCATGGTGTGAAAAACCCAAAGACTTACTATTGATTCATGAACCTGTTACAAACATGTCTCCTGACATGTTTTACCTGGACTTTTTCCACTTCTTGGAACTAGGAGGTCTAGGAGTCAGAAGAAAGTAGTAGCCAACTGAAAAAACAAACGAAACCAACATTCTTTCCTACTCTTCTGGCATAAACTCCAACCACCACTCCCACATGAGGGATGAGTAGTTTTTGGCAGAACAGAAAAGTAATACACACAAAAAGCATTGTTGTGTGTCTGGCAGGTGATAGACATTTTGATGCCTTTAGGGTAGTTTTCCAACAGTTCTTCCATCATTAGAAGAATAATTTTGTATGTTGTAGGATCCGTTTTTATGTTTATGAAAGTAGGGATTCAGGCCATAGTGTTTTGTAAAAATTCACTAAGGCTAAACTTTAGAAGAGACATAAGAATCTTGTCATGAAGAAAATGTAAGAAAGTTACCAGTGGAAAGCCGTTCTGCCAAAAACATGGAGCAATGCTTGACAAAGTATATTTGACTTCCAGAATGGTAATCAAAGGCATCATATGAGACTATATACACAGTACCTTATCTTGCACTCAAACTTTAAGGTCTGGTACCTAGTCAGGGAATCACCACTACCCTTGGATTTTAGACATAACCTTGGGGCAATATTGTTGCTACTCATAACCTCCTAGCTCATGAGCCCCCAATGATATACTACCCATTAACAATCATCCAGTAGACTTAATTGCTCTTAGCAAAGGTCTTTACTAAGAAGGGTGGTAAGAATAATAGGTAAGAAATATTCCTGCCATGAACCTAGATCTCAGTCTCCTACAAATACACATGACTTTTGTGGGAAGAGTAGGCTCAAACTTTGTCTAATGGTGGTGAAACACATGTGTGGGGCACACATGTGTGGGGCAATTTATAACTCTTGTTACTATAGGGAGCTTTTTCTTTTTGTAGAATCCTTACAAAGACCCTCCCTCCCCGGGTATAGTATTTCTGCTGGTTGGGGAGCAAGGTCTGCTCCTCTCCAAAGCTGACTCTTGATTTCTAGGGCTACCTCTCTGAAGCTGCTGACTGTCTTTGGTGATATCTCTGTGTTTGAAATGTACATTTCTGCCCCTGCTTGGAAGCAATGTCTCCTACTGGTCCAACAGCTCTGATGACATGGCCAATGGGGGGGAGAAGAGAAAATCTCTCTCTTCCCTTGCTGACCTATAGTACAGTATAGGGATGTCTTTACACAATTTCCTCCAACTCTTGAATGAAAACTGAAGCTTGGATTGGAAAAGGAACAACTTGACCTCAGACTCAAACTTTTCCGCTGCTGAATGGTTTGTTTCCTTTATATATAGTCCCGAGGAATGTGACTGATTCTCTTAGCTAATCAAAAGGTTTTTCCTATATGGTGTCAGCTGCTTTTATTTAATGGCCAAGACTTGATAATCTTCTCAATTTAATGAAAGAATTCATACCATGTTTTTGTGGGGTTGTAGGAAACCTGCTTTATACTTTGTGATTACATTCTGGCCCTTCTATGACTACAATAACTGAGGGGGAGAAGTGAACTCCCTCTTTTCTACATAGAATTGTGACTTTTGATAATGTTCATTTTATTTTTATTTATTTTTAGGCAATTGGGGTTAAGTGACTTGCCCAGGGTCACACAGCTAGTAAGTGTCAAGTGTTTGGTCTGAGGCCGGATTTGAACTCAGGTCCTCCTGACCTCAGGGCCAGTGCTCTATCCATTTCACCATCTGGCTGCCCCTATGATGATGTTCATTTTATAATGAACAAGATTCAACCTTAGAGTCAGGAGACAACCAGAAGACAGATTTCTGCTAGGAGAGGATATTTCAGAAAGAAATTTACTAGTAATTAGAAAGATAATTTGATGATGCCTTGGGAAGTTTGCCTTTTTATTTTTTTTAATTTTTGCAGACTCTTTGGTATATTCCTCTTTCTAGATGTTTAAAAAAATACCTTGAGTACTTGAGTACTCTCTAAAAATATTAGCTCACCAATTGCTCAGCAGAGTCCTCAGGGGATAGGGAATTTGCCTCTCCCTATCCTGTGCCCAACCATTACTTTTAACTAGGTTCAGTCCTGGGGATCCTGGCTTCTAATAAGACAGAGCCCTCTTTTATTCAAACTCATTGACTCAACAACAAGCCTCTACTCCAGTGTCCTGGGATAATCCTAATTATGACAAATGAGATTATGGCTCATGAGTCTAGGGTTCCTCAGAAGAGGAGGAATAACTAATCTACTCAATGTGAATCAGGGAATGGGGCAGGTAATTTAATCCTACTAACAAAAAAGGATTCTAATGGAAGTTGTTCTTGATTGTTTCCTTAGCCGGGAACAGACAACGTCCTTGACTATGGCCTAAATCGAGTGACCAATCCAAATGAAGATAAGGTAAACAGGTATGTTTCTGTGCTTTGCACTTTGATAACAAAAATAATAAACATTTATGTATTGCTTTAAGGTTTGCAAAACACTTTCTGTATACAGCGTGCTTTGTAGAGGAGTAAGTTAATGTGTAAAGCCAGGAACAAATACCTTCTTGTTAGCTTAGGTACCCTTGGATGCTGACCAGAAGAGAAGGGCTAAAAGCATCTATGTTCAGAATCAGGGGAGGACAATGATTAAGGTACTGGGGTGGAGAAAGGGAGCAGGGAGTGGGAAGCAAAGCAGATTGTACCTAAATCAACCATTTGGCCAAATTTGAATTTAAGCTTTAATTTCCATGCTTTCTTTGGAATCTGAGCATGGGAAGATCTTGTTCTTTACTCCTCTTTAGGAAGCCGCACGGAGATGGAAATGTAATGGAAAGAGTGCTGGATTTGGGATCAGAGGACCTGAGTTCTAATCCTGGGTCTGACACTTAATACCTTTGTGACTGGGGGCAAGTCATTCAGTCTCTTGGACTTCCTCTGCAAAATGAAGAGACTTCTTCTTGGACTACAACTGTAAGGTCCCTTCCAGCTGTGAGGATTTTTTTAAGAGCCCTTCTTGACTAACGGCAAATTATCTAAGCAATTTTATGCTTTAAAAATTAATTTCTTCTCTAATTTAAAGGTAGAGTAGGCACATGTCACAGAATTTGAGTGTTGGAAGGGACCCATAAACACAGAAATATGTGCTGTAACATACCTGACAAGTGGTTGTCTAGCCTCTCTTCTTGAGAAAGCCCATTTCACATGATAGCCATTCAAATACTGGAGGACATCCATCTGTCCCTGCTCTTCTCCAGACTGACCACGCCCAGTTCCTTCAACTGATCCTGATATGACAAAGATGGTCTTTCACCACCCTAGTTGCTTTCTTCTGGACACACTCTCCAGCAGAAGCATTCTTAAAATCTTTCTTAATTTGTGGTGTTCAGAACTTAACATAGTACTTTAGATGAAGCCTTGCCTAAGTAGAGTGCAGTAGAACTGTCATCTCCCTATTTTTGGAAGCTATTTCTCTTTTAATTGAAGCCCAAGATCAAATTAACTTTTTTTCATTTTTGGTGCCATATCACACTGCTGACTCATCAATGAGAGTTTTTAGCAAGCATTTATTAAGCACCTACTTTATGTCAGGTGCTCTGCTAAGCACTGGAGATATAAAGAAAAGCCAAAATCAATCCCTGCCTTCAAGGAGCTCATAGTTTAATGAGGAAAACAACATCCAAACAACTGTAAAAGACAGGATGAATTACAGATGATTTCAGAGGGAATGCACTAGCATTAGGGGAGATTGGGAAAGGCTTCTTAAAGAGAGAGGGCTTTTGGCTGAGACTTGAAGGAAGTCAGAGAGACCAGGAGACAGAGTTGAGGAGGGACAGAATTCCAGGCATGGTGGACAGCCAGTGAAAATGCAGTGTGGGAAGAACAGCAAGGAGGCCAGTGTTACTTGATTGTAGAGTACATGAAGCAAGCAAAGTGTAAGAAGACTGGAAAGGTAGGAAGGGACTAGATTATGAAGGGCTTTAAAAGCCAAGCAGAGGATTTTATATTTGATCCTGGAGGTAATAGGGAGCCATTAGAGTTTATTGAGTAGGGGATGACATGTGTTTTAGGTAAATTGGTTTGATGGCTGAATGGAGAATGGACTGGAGTGGGGAGAGATGAGATGGGGGGACCAACCGGCAGTTTATTGCCAAAATCCAGGTTTGAGTTAAGAAGGGTTTGTACTAGGGTGGTAATAGTGTCAGAAGAGAAAAGGAGACCAGAGATTTTATGAAGGTAGAAAGGATTGGATATATGGGGAGGGGTAAGAGAGAGAATAAGTGTAGGATGATACCTAGGCTGTAAGCCTAGGTGACTGGGAAAATAGTGGTGCCCTTAGTAGGAATAGGGAAGTTAAGAAGAGAGCGAGGATTTTTTGGGGTGGCGGGAGGGAGAGATAATGAGTTCAGTTTTCTTTTCTAGACAAGCTGCTCTCTATCCATGCCTCCCACATCTTGTATTTTTTTTTTGTACCCAGGTGTAAACCTTGACATTTTTCCCCTTGACATTTTTCTGTACTGAATTTTATCTTATTAGATTCATCTCAATGCTCCAGTCTGTCAAGAGAGATCTTTTTGGAATCTGACTCTGTGGCCCCCTGTCTTAGCTATCATTCCCATCTTTGTGTCATCTGATAATTCGATGAGCATCCCATCTATCCCTTTGTCTAAGTCACTGGTCAAAATGTTGAACAGCATAGATCCTGTTGGTATTCCACTAGGGATATCCTGCCACGTTGACATTGAACCATTAACAACTACTCTTTGAGCCTGGTCACGTGAGCAGTTGAGTCCATCTAATTCAAGATAATCTAATCCATATTTTTCCATCCTCTCCACATGAATAGTATGAGATGTTCTATAAAAGTTTCGTTAAAATATCCTCGAACAGTATCCTCAAGATTCCTCTCATCTAGAAGACTAGAAGTTTAGTAATCCTGTCAAAAAAAGGAAATGAGAATAGATTAGCATGTCCTGTGACCTGTTTCTGATGAAGTAAAGCTGGCTCTTTATAATCAATATTTCTCTTTCTGGATGTTCACTAGCCATTTCTTTAATGACCCCTTCTAGAATTTTCCCAGGAATCAAAATTAAGTTTACCAGTCCACAGTTTGTAGACTGTGTTTTTTACTTGTTTTTGCAAACTGGGAAAACAAACCATTCATCTATTTTGTAGTATCTTTTTTGTTTTTTATGGTTTTTTTCCCCCCAGATATCACTGATAGTGGCTCAGCTATCCTATCTGTCAGTCCTTTCAGTACCTGAGGATATAGTTCAACTGGGCCATGTCTCTTGAATTCATCAAGGACGGCTAGGAGCTTTCTTATTTATCTTAGATACCAATTCCCTGTCAGTAATTTTTGTGCTGTCATTTCTAGTCCTAAAGTCATTCTCCTTGGCAGAGAACAGAGATAGAAAGTCAAATTTGCCTCCTTGCAGTGTGACTTCTGGTTCTTTTTGTTTATTACCTACTCTTTGGGCATTTGTGAAGGGATATTTGAGGCCATGAGCTTTACTGCTAGCTTCTTTCTTGGACTTTTTTCCTCCTGTGAAATTCTGACTTTCTTAACTGTTATACTTCTTCTTTGGCCCAGCATAACGCCTAGCACATACTAGGTGCTTAATAAATGTTTCTTCATTGATTCGATCTTTGCAGGTCCTTCTTGGGTATCTAACTTGGGGGATATGCATAGTCAATCTTATTCCTAAAGCCCTTTTGATTAGATTAGCAAAATGCTCAGTAAATATATTCTCGCTGGGTTTTGTTAGGCACCATCCATCTCTGGCCAGGAGCCTTAGTTATTGTTTGCAAGGTATAAATAGGGCCACTACCTCAGTGGATGTGTCTCATGAGGAGTCTGAATGAGATTCTCATGAGCTAGGGGTTACCCAAATCTAGTCTCAGTTCAATTTTCAAGGTATATAGATAGATATAGAGGGTATAGAATTATTCCTATAGTAGTAGTAGAAGTGGTAGTAATGGTGGTGGTGGTGGTGGTAGTAGTAGTGGTGGTGGTAGTAGTAGTAGTAGTAGTGGTAGTAATGTTATTTATATAGTGCTTTGAGATTTGTAAAGCATTTTACATATTTTATCTTATTTTGTCCTTGTAACAACCCTGTGAGTTAAGGGAAATGATTATCTCTACTTTGTAGATATGGAAACTGAGACTGAAAGAGATTAAGTGACTTACTCAGGGTCATATAGGTAGTAAATGTCTAAAGGAGATTTCAGTTCAGGTCTTCTTGAGCTCAACTTCAACAATCTATCCACTGTGTCACCTGTTGTTTCCATAGTTAGCATTTAATAGCTAGCATTTATGTATCACTTTAAGGTTTACAAAGCGCTTTACAAATATTACCTCATTTTATTCTCACAGCAACTGTGGGAGATCCTTGCTATTATTACCCTCATTTCATAGATGACAGTATTAGTCATATAGTTTCTAGCTTGAGGCTGGATTTGAACATAGGTCTTCCTGACTCCAGGTATAGCACTGTGCCATCCAGCTGCCATACCTATATACCTTTCCCCCACCTTGTTCAATGATTCTTTAATCATTAATATAAAAGGATATGTAAAATAAGGAAATATATGATCCCCAAACACGTTTGTCTGCCATAGAGAAATATTCAAGTCAAAAAAAGGATCATACTTATATATCTTGAAAACTGAACTGAAACTGGATTTTGGTAACTCCCAACTGTATTCAGCCTGCTCATGAGACAGTGACTATTAAGGTAGTGGCCCTATTTTTTTCTCTCCCTATTTTCACCTTACAAATAAATACCTCAAGTCCTTGAATTAGAATGGGGGCATACAGACCAACCAATTATTTCCATAGATTAGATAAGATGGGAATTGAACCTGAGTAGGAAAAATGTAGTGGAAACCTTTTGATCTAAGGAACCAAAGATGATCATTTCTTTGCTACCCCAAACTATCTCACTATTTCGCATTCTGTTTTCATACAGCCCTTGTCACTGTTCTCTGTTAGATAGCAGATAATTGCGGTGTCCTTGTAAGCTTTGTTGCTATGGAAACTGAATCACTGAATAAAATGCTGTACTGGGGTTGAAGCTTTGCTTTTTCATGGATAACTGACAGCTCTGGCTTTGAGGAGGGGGAGGTCAGGAGGTAGCCATTATAACACTTCTCCCAATAAGATGAATGAAATCTGAGGACCAAGAGATAAAATAAAAAGGTCAAGATAAATAATAATCTGTGTCCATGATGCAATTAAATTAAAATTCCTTGATTAAGTATCTACAATATATGAAAAATACTGAGCAGGGCACTGGAAGAGGTGCAAGGTTTAGATAAAAGATAGTCTTTGCTGTCATAGAGCTTTTCTAGTGTTTCAGTTTGAGAGATTGCGATCCCTCAAAGACTAGAGTATAAGACGGGTCGTTTGGAATGAAT